CAATGATCAATTCAAGGAATCTTGTTGAGACTGCAAGACAGGCTGAACGAAACAAAGATGATTGATGGCCTGGAGATTAAGTCTTGCAAGGAGGGGTTTTGGGGGCCAGGAATGTGTGGACTTGAGAAAAGACAACATGGCAGCATTTTCGACATATACAGGTAGTCCTCGACTTACAACAGTTCATTCATTGACCATTCAAAGTTACAATGGCACTGAAAATGTGAGGACCATTTTTCACACGGCCTTTGCAGCCTCCCCTTCATCATGGCATCAAAATTCAGATGCTTGGCAACTGACTCATATTTATGACTGTTGCCGTGTCCTGCGACCTTCTGACAAGCAAAGTCAATGGAGAAAGGCAGATTCACTTAACGACCAGGTGGCTAACTTATCAACTGCAGTGATTCGCTGAACAACTGTGGTAAGAAAAGGCGTAGAATGGGGCAAAACTCTCTTAACAAGCGTCTCACTGAACGACGGACATTTGGGGCTCCATTGTGGTCACAAGTCCAGGACTACCTGTACACAGTATTGGAAATGTAAGAGAAGTTGGGCAGTGATGGCTAGACAGAGAGAGGGTGGCGCAGTGGTTAGAGTGCAGCACTACAGGCTACTTCAGCAGTTCAAATCTCACCAGGCACAAAGTTGACTCAGCCTTCCATCCTTCCGAGGTGGGTCAAAGGAGGACCCAGGTTGTTGGGGGCAAGAGGCTGGCTCTGTAAATTGCTTAGAGAAAGCTGTGAAGCAGTATATAAGTCTAAGGGCTATTGCTATTCCTTCCTTCCTTCCTTCCTTCCTTCCTTCCTTCCTTCCTTCCTGTTAGAATGCAGGATTGCAGGCTAACTCTGCCAACTTCCAGGAGTTCTATCCTGACCACCTCAAGGTTGACTCAGCCTTCTGTCCTTCCGAGGTGGGTTAAATGAGGACCCAGATTCTTGGGGGCAAGAGGCTGGCTCTGTAAACCGCTTAGAGAGGGCCAAAGATGAGGTATATAAGTCTTAAATGCTGTTGCTATCCAGCCAAGGTTGGACAACCTCACTTGGGGATGTTCTGAGCAAAGGCCCCTTCTAAGTCTAAGCTACTGAAATTAAAAATAAAATATACCAACGAGATTTCAACGTGCCACGTTTCTATAGATACCACCTCTGCCACCTTCTATTTTTTCCCACAGCCCTTCCATAGGAAACCTGTCAAGTCTTCCACTGCAAGATTGCTCTGCATTATCTATTCGTACTCTTCCTTGTACAAGCTTTCCAATTCTCTCAGACAGAATGAAAGTTTGAAACAATCTGATTAGATGAATGGCTTGAAAGTGGCAGAAGGAAATTAAAGGTAAAGGTTCCCCTCGCACATCTGTGCTAGTCAATCCTGACTCTAGGGGGCAGTGCTCATCTCTGTTTCAAAGCCGAAGAGCCAGCACTGTCCGAAGACCTCTCCATGGTCATGTGACTGGCATGACTCAATGCCCCCGAAGGCGCACGGAACACTGTTAAATCTTCCCACCAAAGGTGGTTCCTGTTTTTCTACTTGCATTTTTACATGCTTTTGAACTGCTAGGTTGGCAGAAGCTGGGACAAGGAACAGGAGCTCACTCTGTTACGCAGCGCTAGGGATTCGAACCATCAAACTGCCGACCCCTCTGATCGACAAGCTCAGCATCTTAAGCCACTGAGCCATCGCATCCCTAAAGAAGGAAATGAAAGAGAGGCAAATGTAGAGTTCTTCGCTAAATGAATGTATTTATTAGTTCTTTGCTAAATAAATGTATTTATTTAGCATATGACAAACACATGGACTTATAGTAGTTCAAATGTATATGTCCAGTCCAACAAGGACACAAATGGCAGAAGACATGAGACTGTTTCGCTACCGGAAAGATACAGGCTGATAGATGAAAGTGTTTAATTTAAAACTAGTTGGACAGTGAAATTTAGTGACAATAGATATGGTTAAATAAAGAATTGAAAATGATAATAATGTATACATATGTATTGGTATAACAAGTAGTAATTGAATATGAATATTGAATGGTACTTATGAAAGGAAGATGAGAAATGGTTTGGTTACATTAAAATTGTTTCCCTACAGACAAT